GTGATGACGTCACAAGGGATCGTCTGCTTTAGACCCTCTTTATCGTCACATTTCTGTAGAGCAGAATGGAGGTCCGTTACCAAACTGACGACTTTTGGAACAACAGACGGTAAACTGCGAGACCTTACATGGCCGATCTCGCGATTTCCGCTGTAGCTGTGTATCCGTGTAGCTGAAAAATTCCAAAAGAGTAGAAAAAACATTCTTTTTACAAAAAAAAATGAAGACAAATGTTTAAAAACTGTCAACAACTACAACAAGAACTCTTCATCGCTCGACAAAAGAATAAAAGGGCAAAAAAATTATTTAACCGCTAAACATTTACTGGCTGCAATGATTTCACAATATTATTGTGGTTAATATTGCCTATTACTTGTACTATAAACAGATGTTTTTATTGAAGTATGATTTTTCGATGAAGCCATTTTTTGGTTCCAACAACCATGCAAGTAGTTATGCATTGCGAACACGTGTATGAAATTTATAATGGCATTTTTAACATCTATAAAAAATAATAAAACATTTCTTCCAGAGAACTCTGCAAAAGAAATTTGAAAGTTTGATATCCTAGCATTTCAGTAAATGGTATAAACATGTTTTTGCTACTTGTGGAAGTTTTTTTCTTCCATTTATGTTTGCTTCGTTTGAATAAAGGAAATGGGTGTACAAGGAGTGTAGAATGACTATTGATTTAAAAGTTTAAAAATATGTATAATTTTTAATTTGTATATTAAGTACTAGTATATAGATGGATGTTTTCATTATCAAAGTATATGAAGTTATGAGGGGGTAAAAAAAGGAGGGTCTTCTGTAAGAAAAATTTCATTGCAAAAGCTCCTTGAGATATCGCCCGGTTTTAAAATTTTTATACACAGAGAGAATGTATGAACTTTTGACTTTGACCTTTTGACGACAATATCAAAATGGGTAAGAGAACTATATATATATGCAAAAGATCCAAAGGCTTTCAAAAGATAGTGGAAAGAAAGTGTTAAAACAGACAGAAATTTTGAATATGACCTTGGTTTTGAAAGTTTTATATACAGAGAGAATAGGGATCTTCCTGAGACCATAAGGAGTTATTGTGTAAAATCATTTCTCAAAATGGGTATTCCATAGGAATCTGTGGTATAGATTTTTACTGCAAAAGATCCAAAGGCTTTTTGAGATAGTGGAAACGAAAGTGTTAAAACAGACAGAAATTTTGAATTTATGACCTTGACTTGTGACCTTTTGACCTCAAAATCAATAGGGATCTTCCTGAGACCATAAGGAGTTATTGTGTAAAATTTCATTGCAAAAATTAAAAGCTTCTCGAGATATCGTGTGGAAACGAAAGTGTTACAGACAGACAGAACTACAGTAGGACGGACGGACAAACCGAAATTAATATCCCCCACTTTCAGCTGGAGACAAAAAATGTTTTTAAAAGTTTTCGTGCAACATATTGGTCGCACCACATGCATTTTGCTCGCCTTGTTCGCCCATCTTCATTTAAAGTACATTTTCATGCAAGATCCAGCATCTCATATAAAATATGTAGCTTTACCATTGAGAACATGGTCGAGTTGTGACAAAGCTTCTGACAATATATCACTGGCCTCTTTGTTGTTAGTAGCCATGGTCACTCAACCTGACCTACAAAATTCCAAGAAAAAAAGTATGTAGAGAGAGTGAACATAGAAAAGATGATGTTAGATACATTGATTGCAGTGAATAAATCATTGATATATAATAGCAACATAAAAAGCAACCTTAGCTATATTACACGTTCGAGGGGTGTAGGATGTTCAGGAATCACATAGAAGCAAACACAATTTGATAACTAAATAAGCATGAACATAAGAAAGATATACACTGTAATTTCTTTAATGTTTACGATGCTAATTACAACTTTTTCAAACAAATATTTGGAAGTTCTTAAAACTTAGAATACATTTAATAAAAACGTTTTTTTTCTAAAATCAAGTATTAAACAGCATCTATATTTTAAGAAGTATGTAAATCAATGAAGATGGGTTTCAATGTATTATAGTTTCATTATGTGACAAATATGATTTAAAGTAAACATTGCAGCAATGTTCAGTCTTACATGTATAAAAGGTACAAAATATTGTATTGGAAAGATGCGTAAATTCTAGTGTCACATCATGCAACTTTTAATATCTCCCTTTTCTCCTGAAAGCAGTTCTCCCCCGATTTTTTAATCCTCAAAATGTCACAGAATGTTTAATCTATATATTCTCCATAATGCGTGCTTCTAAGAGAATTACATACATTAGCGGTAATAAAATCAGCAGGCCCCCTGTTGTAATATAAGGGTACTGGTGTAATTTGATTTCAATAAATAAAATTTTATATTAGTCGTTAAAATTTGTTAGATAGCTATTGTCCTCTACAAAAATGTCAGTAGTCATAAAGTACTAAATTTTCTATTTTGATGAAAATTTGTGGGAAGACACTAAATTATATTTTCTATTTTAACAGGGAAAAAGTAAAAGAGTAGTTCAAGTTCTTTTATCAAAAAAAATATGTAAATGTAAAATACAAAAGTACTTATACTCACGTTGTAGAACTTAGGACATATTCCGTGAAAGAAATAATAAATCGACCTAGAAAACGGTGTAATCAGAAAAAAATTCGACTTTGATAAAAAAAAATATTTTATTCGTAGATAGATGATTACTCTGCAAAAGGGGGCCAACGATGGGGTAATACAAATCTTTGGCAGGATAAGAAAAAAGATAAGTACATATACACCAGTCAAAGGCGTTTTGTTGTGGAAACCATTATTCTAAACGAGGGGGTATTAGGGGGTATAATGTAACTACGCACTGAAATGAACTTCACCCTGCTTCAGACAATGATCACTAAACAGTTGCTGGATCTTAAGGCGCCTCTTTTTTTCCTAAATTTGATATTGAACCAGATCACCCTGTGTTTATATAATCCGTGTATCGGCTGCTTCACCTTTAGGACACTTCAATGAGATACTCGCGGATGCTGCTCCCCATGGGGGCTTTTAATTATCAGCATCATCATATTTTAACAGGTTAGCGCTTCTTTAAATAAACACAGATTCCGAGTTGAAAAGTTACTGTATTCTCTTGCTTTGGAATAATAATTGGGAGTTCTAGCTTTTGATCATATAATTTTAGAGGGTCTCTAATTAATTTCAGTGGCTATGAAAAGTGTTACATGTTGGCCTGATCTTACACAACCCAACCAAATCATACACGATATAACATTATGACTGTGCTGTAAAATTATGCTTGATAATTGTATTTTATGCTTTAATGTACAAGTTTAATGATTTCGTATCAACTTTCGATGATCCTTCGAGACTTTTTTTATCACATTTTGTCCGCCGTCCGTGTGTCTGTCTGAAAACTTTTCACATTCTCGACTTACCAAGAACCATTTGGCCAATTTCAACCAAACTTCTTGCAAGGTATCTTTTGGTGAACTGGATTCATTTTCATTTAAATAAAGAACCACACCTTTTCACAAGAGGAGATATTAATGAACTAGTAAACAAGAGGCCCAGGGGCCACATCGCTCACCTGAGCAGGAAAAAGCACGTATCAGATCAGAACTGAACGTTTATAACAGAGTTTTTTTTTTTGGAAGGGGGGGGGGGGGCTTGAATCTTAACCTCCCAGGGGGTCATGGTTTGAACAAACTAGAATCTACACTACCTGAGGCTGATTCCATATAAATACCACTAAGCATGTATTTAAAGTACTTGAAAAGAGGATTTTAAAAGGTTTCCCTATTTATTCCTATGTAAAACTTTGATCGGCCATTTTGGCCCCACCCCAGCCCCGGGGGTCATGATTTGAACAAACTTGATCTACACTACCTGAGGATGATTCCACATAAGTTTCATCTTTCGTGGCCCAGTGGTTCTTGAGAAGATTTTTAAAGATTTTTCCTATATATTCCTATGTAAAACTTTGATCGGCCATTTTGGCCCCACCCCACCCCGGGGGTCATGATTTAAACAAACTTGAATCTACACTACCTGAGGATGATTCGACATGAATTTCATCTTTCCTGGCCCAGTGGTTCTTGAGAAGAAGATTTTTAAAGATTTTTCCTATATATTCCTATGTAAAACTTTGATCGGCTATTTTGGCCCCAAACTAGTCCCGGGGGTCATGATTTGAACAAACTTAAATCTACACTACCTGAGGATGATTCCACATGAGTTTCATCTTTCCTGGCCCAGTGGTTCTTGAGAAGAAGATTTTTAAAGATTTTTCCCATATATTCCTATGTAAAACTTTGATCGGCCATTTTGGCCCCACCCTAGCCCCGGGGGTCATGATTTAAATAAAATTGAATCTACACTACTTTAAGATAATTCCACATGAATTTCATCTTTTCTGGCCCAGTGGTTCTTGAGAAGAAGGTTTTTCAAAATGCCATTAATTTTTTTTCTAATTGATAATTATCTCCCCTTGGAAAAGGGCGTGGTCCTTCATTTGAACAAACTTGAATCCCCCTTTGTAGCAAGTTTGGTTAAAATTGGCCCAGCGGTTCTTGAGAAGAAGATGAAAATGTGAAAAGTTTACAACGACGACGACAGACAACGGACAAATTTTGATCAGAAAAGCTCACTTCAGCCTTTGGCTCAGGTGAGCTAAAAAGGGTCCTCGCAAAGGCCCTCAAGATCGATCGAAGGTAAAGGGTGAAAATCTTGAAAAATCCTCCAGAGCCATGATTATAGTCAAAGAAATATGGACACATCCTCAGCACTTCGTCTAACGACCGACTGAATGGCCTACAGACCGACCAACAGTTACAAAGAAACATGCCCCTTTTTTTGAGAGGGGGGGGGGGATACGGTACCAATAAGCAAAATAATGTAAGGCTTTGCATTTGTCTTTTTTTTTCTATACATTTATTTCACTCGCAGTTCAAATTCAAATCAACACGAACAAATATTAGTTTAATTGTATGAAAAGGAAATTCATTAATTAAAAAATATTAGTTAGTACTTCTCTCTTATTTTATCTAATAATAAATACATGTATTCTTTTATTGTGAATACATGTATTCTTTCATTGTGAATATATCTATTTTTAAGTCCCGACTGGATAAAATGCACTGGAAGCAATTCCACAGTTGTTTCTCCTGTTTCGGCTCATTAATATGTATCCATTCATTCCCCATTCAGTTCCTACAACAACAAAATCTGACAGTTTAACTTTAATCAACTTAGCTTCTGTCACTTCTGAGAGGCTTCAGTTACGAAAAATTTTAAACTTAGGAAATGGGTCTAAAAATATTTCTATCAGATGGGTGCCATATATTCCTTATAGGTACTTAAAAGAAAAAAAAAACGTGTTTTATAAAACAGACCCCAAGAATTTTTCACAATCCAGAAATCTTTTCCTCCTTTGGATCCATATCCTACTACCAGGACGGCATGATCTAGTCTCTGTGAAGAACAGGCCTTCTCGTAATAAACACCACTCCGGTATAACTGGAATGAGGAGTGACTAGCATCTATAACCGCTAAAACAGGCTGAGTGAACACAGCCATCTTCAACGCCTCTTCGTCGCCATGCTTCACCGCTGTCACGCCCGTCACCTTCAGACACAATATCAACAATCAAGTAATTATTTCCTTCTTTATACAGTTGAGCTTCGATCATTCGGATGCTTATAATCCAGATAAAAAATTTAAGAGGAACAAAAAGAACATTATATCTGCCAATTCCTGAAAACCACCTTTTAACTGCGAATGAGAAACATTCTGTTTCAATATTTCTGGTTGCCAACCAGTTATTCACCTAACAATTTATGAACGATGCCTTGGTCATGGAAGGATTCAAATCAGTTGAATCTAAAATGTCGCTAAAATGGTTGGTTTGCAACATAAAAGGTATTTTTCAGTATCCCGATTCGCTTTAGCTGCAGATCTGTAGCTCTCCGAAAAAAAATATATTGATAGACCGGAGAGCTACAGTGCCACCCATTGAAAAAACTGTATATTTATTGCGCACAAAAAAGTGCGCTCGGTTCTCGATTTATTTCTCCATGTTTTTAAAACTGTAATTTCAAAATATTACTAACCGTGTGTTCCTAATATATTCTTTCGCTGTTTCCACATCCAAACATTCCTCATAATTGTTGTTAATAGTCCTCCTGACCCTGATATTGTAATCATCGAACATTTCGCTTATTTATACTGCCATTTTGGTTTCAAAGATAATTCGGTCCAATATGCTTCGTTCAGATGTCAACTATGAGAGTACTTGATTGAGGATAAAAGAATATTTTGAAATCTTTCCTTTTTTTGCAATTGAGGTAAGAATTTAGAAGAATTAATCAAGAACCGAGCGCATTTTTTTATGCGCAATAAATATACAGTTTTTTCAATGGGTGGCACTGTAGCTCTCCGGTCTATCAATATATTTTTTCGGAGAGCTACAGATCTGCAGCTAGATTCGCTTGAGAACATAGGCGTCCGGATGAACGAAGCTCGACTGTACACGTTCGTAGAATCTGAAAATTGCACTATAACTACACAGTCGTACCTTGGCGACAGGTGTACATTTGCTGCTCTGACATGTTGAGGAGAAGGGGTAACTGGCGGAGTCACAGAGGCCTCCAAGTTTTTGTACACACTTAAACTCTGAACCAACCAATGAGGTATTGCAACACTGCACTAGTTCATGAATGCTGAGTTCAATAAGTTGCCCGGTCTTGATGAAATGCATGCTTTCAATGGAGTCTATTGACGAAAGAAATGTGAATATACAAGTATCTTGTTAACGTCTACACAAAATAAATATTCAATATTATAGCAGTATACGTTCTTGTATGAATATTTAGTCATCGAATTTGTCAACATATTGGAAAGAAATGTATCATTTAGATTATCTCTCAAATGCTGTGTTTAGAGTGTCTGCTTTAGAGATGCGAAGTAAGGGGTCAATTCTTACGTCGCGGACTTGAATCCCACTGTGGGACGTGGAGACCGGTCCTTCGGATGAACCGTATAAACCGAGGTCCCGTGTCGTAGTAGGTGCAGGCACGTAAAAGACCCCTCAATGCTCAGTGGCTCTGTGTGCCGAGTATAGGACAAAATTTGCAGCTCTCCACTGGCAAATGGTCGCATATCCATATGAGTGAAAAAATCTCAAGAGGGACGTCAACATACAATCAATCAATTAATCAAATATTTTGTCTGCATGTGCATATATTTTCGGTATCAACATAAGCTAAATACTGGTAATAAGTGATCATATTCTTTATTCTATTCAGTTTTTTTACTATCTGCTTGTAATACTAGTACACAACTCAAACAACGAAAGACATAAAAGATAAGATTGATGCTGTAAGTCAAGACTTGCTTCCATTATCTATATTTACTTATCAACAGAGATTTAAATCTGCTATTACTCTCTTCGAAAAATTCTAAAATGAAAAAAAGTTGTTTATGTAGTTTTATTGATAGCATTTTTATTTTACATGGCCTTGATTTACAAACCTAAAGTTGCGTACGCTAAAGAGCTTCCCATTTGACCCTGGTTTTTGACTGGAGACACGGCGCCCTTTGTACGCCAGTCAAAAGATTCGGGGACATCTCTAATAAATGGCGTTTTCGTGGCAACCGATGACACTTTGTAAGTCAGCTTTTTTCTAAGCCCAATGTGAATCTTTAACAACAACAAAAAAAATAATCAAATAAATAAACGATAGCAAACATGGCAGTAATGAACAAAATAAATGTACAAGCTTTAATTAAATTACTCGTATAATTCAAAACTGGTGCATAGAAATGAAAGTGTGGACCATAGGAATTGCACTAATTTTATTACAACTCGAGATCTTCACAACGTCATAAAATGTTTGGTATTCGTATCTGCAATCGTACATGTCCACTACCGCATTCTATATTTCATGAATTACTACATCACGTTTTGAAGAGATTCATTGTTCCTTTGAACACTCATATAAAATTTTGATTTAACATTTACGATTTCCCAAAGGAAATCTGATAAAAATAATAGAAACTCTACATGAATGGTGTATTATGAATAAATCGGTTCTGTTTTGTTTCTGCAACATTAATGTTATCAACACATGTATTCTTAAACATATATGCAATGTAAAGTGTAGACTACTCCGCATTGTACAGTTTTGGAGTGGAAGTCAACACTAACTTTGAGTAGGTGCTTGGTAGAACTGACAGAGTTGTCATCTAGATCCTACTTCAGCAGTATATGGAATTGTAATTTCCGTTATTTTCCGGTCATGACTGGTCGGCAGGGGATGCTCACTTCTCCATGGCACCTGATTCCATCTCTGAAGTTTTGGAGGTCCGTGTTTGCTCTGCTCCCACTAATGTTTGGTATTGTTTTATGGACTTTTATGGCACGCCAAATTCACAAAAATGAGATAAACTTAGTTTCACAATTGATAAACTAGGTTTATCGTCTTTAAACTATAGTTTACAAACCGTAAACTATAGTTAACGATTCGATAATTCATTGTTCCTTTGAACACTCATATAAAATTTTGATTTAACATTTACGATTTCCCAAAGGAAATATGAACACTCCGCTACAGTTTTGGATGGAGTTTTCATCTGTAAAACTATAATTAACGGTCGTTAACTATAGTTTACGAATGCTAATCTAAGTTTATCTGTCTGAATAAAGCGTTAACAATAGATTTTGTTGATAAACATAGATTCACATTTGTAAACTATAGTTTACAATCGTAAACTATGGCACGCCAAATTCACAAAAATGAGCTAAACATAGTTTCACAGTCGATAAACTAGGTTTATCGGTTGTAAACTATAGTTTACGGACTGTAAAGTATAGTTAACAACGTTAATCTATATTTTACATCTGTAAACCATAGTTAACGCGATAATCTGTGTTTCACAACCGTAAACTATACTTAACACCGAAAACAATTATTTGCGATTGCAAAACATAGATTATCTAATAAATACAGTTTCACGATTTGTAAACTATAGTTTACAAACCGTTAACTATAGTTAACGATCTGATAAATATAGTTTCACGATTTGTAAAACTATGATTAACAACTCTTAACTATTCAACAAAATCTATTGTTAACGCTTCTTACAAACAGATAAACTTAGATTATCATTCGTAAACTATAGTTAACAACCGTTAAATATAGTTTTACAGATGAAAACTATACTTAACGAATCGTTAACTATAGTTTACGGTATGTAAACTATAGTTTACAGTCGATAAACCTAGTTTATCAATTGTGAAACTAGGTTTAGCTCATTTTTGTGAATTTGGCGTGCCATAATAAACTATAGTTAAGAGTTGTTAATCATAGTTTCACAAATCGTGAAACTATATTTATCAGATCGTTAACTATAGTTAACGGTTTGTAAACTATAGTTTACAAATCGTGAAACTGTATTTATCAGATAATCTATGTTTTGCAATCGCAAATGATTGTTTTCGGTGTTAAGTATAGTTTACGGTTGCGAAACACAGATTATCGCATTAACTATGGTTTACAGATGTGAAATATAGATTAACGTTGTTAACTATAGTTTACGGTTTGTAAACTATAGTTTACAACCGATAAACCTAGTTTATCGATTGTGAAACTATGATTATCTCATTTTTGTGAATTTGGCGTGCCATAGACTTTTGATCTTGAATATTGTTCTTTATCTCAATGCCGAGCTTAGGACAAAAATTTTAAGCTCTCCATCGCCAAGACTAGTGGTGGAGTCTCCAATGAAAAAAATCTCAAGAGGGACGTTTAAACAACATATAAACAAACAAACACACACACACACAGCAAGCTCTGTATTTACAACAGCCGCGTTAAGACCTCCCCCTCTCTATGTATCAAGTTGAACATTTTAAATTAACTATGTGGCTGTAAAATCAAGAACATGATGTATGGATCAGAAACATGGATTGTTACCAACGTCACCTTCAAATAAACTAAAACATTCACAAACAGATATCCATGTCACAAACTGAACATCATTTGGATGGAAAGAAAAGATAAGCAACACGAACCTGAGGTAAGCGAAACATCAGGACCCGAGCACACAGAAAATAACCGTAGATGTAGTGGTGGTGACCACATCCTCAGAAAATCGACAGGCGTCAAAAGAGACTACGTAATTGAGTGTAACCACCATGGCAAACGTCGGGTCGGGTGTCCCAGAACAACCTGGTGAAGGTCGTCAGACAGTGTGATCAAAGTTGCCTATCACTGAGTGCATAGGGAAGGCCGTTGCCAGAACCCCGAATCAAAAAGAGTCATGAAGATGAAAAAGATACCATTAGGCTACATGTACCATGTCCGTTTCAGAACCCGTGGCCCCTGATCACGGTGCGAACGCCGTGCCACTAGGGTACAGTGACCAGTTTGATTAGAATTAGAATATCGTCTAATCAGTGGATCAATATTTTTAAAAAAAACTATTAGAATTATTCTAAGCGAGGTAAGCAGACTGACAGCTAAAAACAGAAAAGGGAATTTTATAATATTCTTGGAACAAGCTGCAAGAGTTACATGTACTTATCACGGCATTTAGTTTTTTTTTTTAATTTTTAAAAGGGTATTTGTTTTTTCAAAGGACGTCTGCACGCCCCTTCTTTGCATTGTATCGACCAAAAAACTGAGGATATAATGACTTCAAAGGAGACTGTAGATATCCTTGTTTCATCAACTTATTTGTCAATATTTTATAGAAATTGTTCATAAACGTAGAGGATTTAACTGTTAGCTGCAGATCTGTAGCGTTATGGTTTTATATATTTGTCTTTGACAATTAGGGAGTGAAAGGTAGTTGATTGTCCAATGCTAGAAAGTGGAGAAATTCTCCCTAAAAGTGCGCAAAAAGTATTGCGCCGTAAATTGCACCTGTTTTGCATTAGGGGATCTGTAGCGTTATGGTCAAAGACAAATATATATATTGATCTGCAGCTATTAAACTGTTGGCTCTTGCATATCGAATAAGCAGTGATAAGGTAATATAAGATCATTGGGAAAAATCTAACCTGGTCTGCAAACTGGTTCATCTCCATTGAGAAACCCGAAACATTGGCTTGGTTGTGACGATTCACTAAATCCAGAGACCTCTTCCATATTTCATACCTATAGGCTTCCTCGTTCGCACTTCTGTATTGCTTCCTGTATTTCTGTTTCCATGTTTGAAATTCATATGTAATACTTAAAGCAAAAGGCACAACAGATGCCAAAATCAGGAAGAAATATTTCATTGTTTTCTTTTTAAATGAGACTGACGGTGTGTTTATTGTTACATACCCTTAGTATGTAGGCCTTATATCTTACAAATAGCACTCGTGACCACATGTACATGTGATGTTTCATCATGTTTGAAACAAAAAAAAGCAAAATGAATTTATCTGAATTAGATTTTCTATATCAAATATATTGAATAAATGAATAAAAAAATTGATTGAACATTATATTGTTAAAATATTGTGTTATACACACATTCCGTAGTAGTTGACCGAATTCTGAACGAGAGTTATCGCTCCTCTATTTGTCATCTTAGGGATGACGGCATTAAAAAAAATAATAATAAAGGTTAAATCCTCGTTTATTATGATGAATATTACTTAATTCTCATTTTATTCCTATAATTGATTCAAACACGCGTGTACTGGAAAGAAGACTTGTTCTAAATATCAACAAAATCAGTAATAGCAAAATTTTATAAGCATGGCTATAGACCTTGTATTTTTTGGATCCGCCTAACGAACTATTTTTTCTTCCTAGCACAGTTTTATTTTTCTTTTAGCTCCATATTTGAAAATTGATGACTATTTATTTTTCTAAAAACTTTCATTTTTTATAAATCTCAAATTCATTTTCAGTCGCTGATAAAGCAATAGAATGTATAAACATTTTAACACTATATTCCTTCGCCCTCTGAGGCGGAAGGATACTTGTGTACTGGCGCATGGGCCGAAATAGGGAAAACAAATGAAATAGATTATGGTTTGGTAGAATTATTTAGAAAAAATCTTATTATTTGTTGGAAATATATATATTTTGCAATGGTGTCCAGGAATGATTTAGATGCTATACAGGCAAAGTTAAAAATTTCTATTCAGAGCCATCAGGTAAGCGAGCCATGTCAACTTTTTTTGGCTATTTTGGTAGTTTGCCGCACTTCGGAAAATATTATCAGAAAAATGTTTTAAGAGATTACTTTAATACATTCGGTGAGCATTCTTAGTAAATAAATATTTCTTTATATAGTTTTTATGTAATTTATCATGATTTCGTAAGAAATATTGTTTAATCAAATAAAATCGTAGCTGTTGATAAATTCTCCACACTGATTGGTTAATTTTCACAAATAAATATAGCTTACCATGAATAAGCGACATGTATAATTTTAAGAACTTTATAATTTGTATGTTTTCTTTCTCGAGTCAATTTTACAATAAATGTGACTTTCTTTGTTATTACAGACTCTGGTCACGTCCATGAAAAATGAACCACAGGTGAGAGGGTCAAATGGAACCATTGTTTACTACCAAAGCACAACTGTTAACTTGCCTGTATTGATTTTTGGTTTGGTATATCACTCTACTCCTAAAGCTTATATCAAGCAAAAAATCAATATCAGACACATTTCGACTAAACTGCTGAAATTTCAAGTTCTCTTAGTTTCCTTTTAAAGTTATTTTTTTTCTTAAATTTTAAATTAAGTAACATTTTTGAAGGTCTAGCTTTCACTGTTGGCATTTTCACTTATAAACATTGTGATGTTTGCATTTAAATTTTCAAAAAAATTATCTGAAAATGAGTAAAGCGTCTTACACTTATGCCAAGTAGTATACTTAATTATATTATGTTTTTTCTTCTTTCCTTTGTTTTTAATAAGCTGTTGTGCATGTATGTACATTCCCTTTCCCTGGCTTTATTGCAAGAGGAAAGGAATTGTCAGATGTAATATATGTGGAAAGCCTTTATTTGTTTATTTTCCTAGATGTATGTATGCATATTCTTCTTTGGTCCAGTGCATTTACTTTTCTGTCAACCTACTTGTAAATTACTCTTTTTTTTCCTTTGATTTCTGAAGTACAGCATTTTTTTTATATTTTACAGAGTGCAGAACTGAAGAAAAAGCTCCATGAATTGCAGAAAGAAATTTTCATTCTTAGTGAGAAACAAGTGCGTATTTAATTTTCAATTCAATTATAAGATAAAGCTGAATTAATCATTGTTATGAATGCAGCAGTTCATCTAATAGTTATTAAGTAATTAACTTTTTTTTAATAATTCTCTTAAATCTTTACTTTGAAATTCAAAGAACACTTGTTTTTTTTCCAGAGAGGCATAGTGCAGAGGCTGAGAACGGACATAGTAAACAGACAGCCAAACCAGCCCGCTCCAGCTCCCAAGAAGTCCCCAGCCAAGCCCCCGGAATCTCAGCCAACTCAGATAATGCCCCGCCCAATTCAGCCCCGTCCCATCCAACCAGCCCCTCCCCTACAGCCTATTGTTCTCAGGCAGCCTGTTCAGCCTATTCAGGTAGACTAACTTTCAAATACTACATTGAGGAAGGTTCATGTATCCCCCCCCTTCCCAATATATCCAATATATACTGTTTACTTATACTACTATTTTAATCAGTATTGTATTATGTAAAGTCAGTATACTCTATTCTCTGACCTTTTTTATGGGCGCCGCCATGTTTGGATCACGTGACTTGACGCCATGAAGGTGCTGATAACGTCATAATTTGTTCATACTTAATATATCTAGTAAATATATACTGATCCATTTGACTCATAATCACTTTCAACTACTTTAGTATTTTAGTATTTTCATGGAATTCAATTTGAAATAATTATGTACCTAAGTCAATTTAATTATTATTTAAAAGAAGAGACCAAGAACATATTATCTGAAAGACTGTAGGCAACATATATTTTGTTTGTGTGATATGGAAAAAACTCCCATATTCATGACTAATTTTCTTAATTTTTCATTGAAAATGACAGTTTAAAATATGGTTTTTCCTATTTTCCTACAAATTATCCAACACATTTTTTATCTAAAGTTATTAAGCATCATTAAAGGAATTCTATATGCTGTACATCCAAAATTTAAATTAATTTCTTATAATACATACGCGTTTAGTGATTTTCTTTTATTGGGTCTTCAGCTTCATTGTTCGTATAATTAAATGTTTTAAAATCAAAAGAGAAAGTGAATTGTTTTGTAGCCTAAGATTTTCCCTTAAATTTAAGCAAGATTATAAAAGGCAAAAATCCGTTTACACAGTGAGAGAGAGAGAGAACTCAAAATACAGGTGATTTGTAAACCCGTTTCAAAAATAAATATAAGCATACAAATACAAAATGAAACAAATGTACGACTGAAATTTAATAAACTGTACGTGATAAGATAACCAGGCTCACCGCCTAGGATATTTAAAGAGGAGCGAACCTCCTCCACTTAAGTGAAACATATAACCTACCTATTTTTTCATTAAAAAAAATTCTACAGGTAAGTCAATACAGGTATAGTGTACAACACTGTGCACACATTCCACCACTTCAAAGGAAATGAAATGACACAGTTCAAACTAAAAAGTAAATAACGGAATACCATGCCATGCTTACCGGTATATGCTCTGAAATTTGAAGAATTTGTCTAATTTTTTTTTCAAATGTTATAAATATTTGAAATAAGTATATAACGTAAATATTTTCTCGGCAGGCGGGCTTCATATACATGTACATATGTATATAGGGGAATGTGAATGGTAATTAAAATCAGATAAAGAACAATAGAGCGCATTTATTTACTTTTTTAGTATAATACTATATAGATTATTAAATAAATTAATATCAATGAAGTAAATTAATCCCTGACATATGTTTTTTTAAATGTTAAACACGAAATATATATATTTTTAATTTTATCTCAATTTTTTTGTCATTGTTAATTATTTTTTATTTAATTTTTATTTACTTAACCAGCACATGGTGTTTAAAATTATATACAAAACGTCAAATAAAAAAAAAGGTTTCGGATAACTACGGGCTGTTCACTAATTTTAAATAAAATGAAATTGAAAATAAAAAAACACTATATTGTTAGATTTAAACTAACACAGTTTTCAGCATGTCTGACTGTGGAAAACAAAGAAAACAAGGTATTTATCACCCGTTTATTCGTAGTGCTTACTGTCACTCTTATCACACTGTCACCACTGTAATGGCGGCCGACGACAACGCCGCCGTGTGACAAAGTGCGATAACTCTGTAAAACTTATGAAAAAGAATCGTGTATACATTTATCTGGATTGGACACCATTTGAAGAAGAATATGAATATGCTATATTGTCAAAATTTAAATTTATTTCTTATAATACATAAGTGTTTTTATTCAGCTTGACTTAAAGAGAAAGTGAATTGTTTTGTAGCCTAAGCCCTTGATTGAAAATATTCCACCAACTCAAAGTACAGGAACTCGAATGAGTACGGACTCATCTCAGCAGAAACCAGGCTCACCGCCTATACGAGTACCAACCTATCACAGACCTTCAATTCTACAGGTAAGTCAATACAGGTATAGTTTACAAAACTGTGCACACATTCCACCACTTCAAAGGAAATGAAATGACACAGTTCAAACTAAAAAGTAAATAGTGGAATACCGTGCCATGCTTACATGTTCTGAAATTTGAAGTTTTAGTTTTTGATAACGTACTGTACATACCCAAAACACTTGTTTGAAGAGATGCTGAATGCAAGTAACGTCAATTTAATCCCACAGGGAAGTAAGTCTCCCATCAGTAAAAGTTCTCATATGACATCATCCTTTGTGAGAAAACCATCAGATTCAGACAATAAGGAGTTCACCAAACCAGCCGAGAAAAAACAGGTGTCTCAAGAGGAAAAAGAAGTAAGAACATGAACCATTTGAAGAATTTAGATTGTCAGTTTGTGTTTATGATCAGTGCATTTTAGGTGTAGTAGATGCTAAAAAACGTACCAGTATAATGTGGAAATTGTTGAATACAGTAAAAATTGGTTATAGCCAAGTCACTGGGACCTATGAAATTACTTCGCTATATCGGTATAAGGAATTCGTTTAATTTATATAGTTGGGATTTAAGATAACTTCGCTATATCTGTGAATTCACAATATCTGTGTTTGTACTAAAAGAGATTTACTGTAGTATTTTTAATACCTGTATATTTGTTTTGTTGAACATTACAGAAAATGTCATTTATTGCTGCATTGGATTTGGTGACACAAGAGACGCTAAAAGGTACAAGAGAATTTAATTGTGTTATTCTGATTGATTTGGTGATAAGTATGACTCCTGCTAAAGATTTTTTGATATTTTAAAAGATTGATAATGTAAAGGAAATGTGCTCAGAGGAAAGGGTTTAAAAGATTGATGAAATAAAAGGAATGTGCAGAGAGGCAGTTTTTCATAGTTACACAAATATATATCAGAGTTATCTATCTTCATATAGAAATGCAGAACAGGAGATATGAGAGAAAGAGAAGGACCACTGCTAACCCTCTGTACAACTTTGAACCCGAGGTAACTTTTTATGAATTTTTAGTCACCCTAACAATGTCGAGAGCTTTTGCTATTCTATAATTTACTATGATTGAACAACACATTTTATTGAACATTCATTTAAGATAAGGTGTTGTCTTACTTAACAATAATTTTTGACAAAGTGAGCTTTGAATACCAATATTCTTATTGATTTTTTCCCTTTGAACTCCATTATTTAACTTCATTATTATTCAATTTCATAGAGAAAGAGACCTCAGAGCTTAATGTTAACATCCATTTCAAATCCAACCAATGGAAAAAGGGGCAGAGGTATGTATAGATATAGAAGGATCTTGGAAGATTTTGTCAATAAATTGGTGTCATACATAGGTTATGGATTGTTCATTATATAAAGCTTATGGTAATCCTGAATTTTTAATTAAGATAATTCTTGTATGTTCGGCCAGATTGAGATATAAATCTTATCATTGTTAATTCTAGGCCGCCCTCCAAAGTCCCGGTCTCCCAACAGTGTTCCAGGAACTCCTGAAAGTAGCGATGGTCACAACACTAGTGGAATAGCCAGGCCTAGTTGTGTAAGTTTCTAGAGTTTCTTTCTGCATACAATATCACAGCTGATAATGGACATTGTGTTCCATGTATCTATTAAGTTAAGTACATGTTAATGCTAAGAAACCTTATAAATTTCAATTTCCCCTCTAAACCCGGTTTCAAGTAAATGGTTTACAAGCTGGATGTTTTTTTTACAGGATGTTCATGATGATTTCTGTGCAGTGTGTAACCAGTCCGGACAGCTACTTTTGTGTGATACCTGTAGTAAAGTATTCCACCTCCAGTGCTTGGATCCACCCCTCAGTGAGATTCCTGATGGAAGATGGAGCTGCCAGAAATGTCAGGTACATTGTAAATGTCATACTGGCATTCAGAGGGAATATATGAAATCATAGGACCTACTGGTATCAATGATTGCTAGTAGTCTGTGAAAAATCCTTTGGAAAACCGACCTTACCATATTAAGATCCCTGGGTGATTAGAAATGGAGTTGGTACTTATTTTATAAATTACATATATATTTCAGAAAGGATTAAGGCAATTTTGCTATGTTGCTCTGTTAGATCCCTTTCCAGCATTATATGGGTTTTGGTGCTTATTGGCATTGATGTAATAAAATTAACACCAGAATGTTGCTTTTTGATAAGTACATGTGAAATATCTGACACCACAGAGTTAGATACCATACTGAGAATTACTACTGTATATATGTAACATCAATTGGCAAATAGAAATAATGTCCAATTAAATTTCTTTTTAGGCAAGTGGAAGAGCTGGATGGTCATCAAATGCTATAGCCCGAGTGAATAACTTCATCACTAATAAATCAGGTAATTACATTTATTAAATTTTCAATGGTGAAATACTGTAATGTACTGATTTTGATATTGAAGAAAATGACATCCTGTCACAGTTTGAAGGAAGTTCAGCAAAACTCAAGATTTTCCTTTCCTTTACCAAGACTGTTGGCCTATTATAAAATAGAGAAAGAGCAAATAAATCATCCTGACAGGGACAAAAAATTGCCTAAGTTTCTCATGATATGCTTTTGAATTTTAAGTTTAAAATGTCAATCTTGCAATTGTGAAAGCTATGACGAGTGAATGTTTAGCTATGATGTCACAGCTTATGACACTGTGTTATGAAATGACAAATGCGAGGGGTAAATCAACGAAGATATAATTAACAGAAAATTAAATTTTTTTTGTACTTAATTAAAAATAGATTTTTTTTTTCACTTGTGAAACAGGATTTTTAGATATTTTTAGTAGTGCTTTGCATTTGTAAAATATAAAAAAATCCTTTAAAATATTTCCACCATAAATTCTTTAATCAACTTCAAAACATTGAATATCTTATTTGTATGCAACTTAATGAAACATTATTTATTTATTAGAAGTACATGTATTTTGTTGTATATCCACCTTTATTTATTAGAAGTACATGTATTTTATTGTTTATCCATAAACATACCTGTATCAATTTTTATTCTGTATCATATTTATTATCTATGGCACGCCAAATTCACAAAAATTAACTAAACCTAGTTTCACAATTGATAATCTAGGTTTATCGACTGTAAACTATAGTTTACAAACCGTAAACTATAGTTAACGATTCGTTAAGTATAGTTTTCATCTGTAAAACTATATATATCGGTTGTTAACTATAGTTTACGAATGCTAATCTAAGTTTATTTGTCTGTAATAAAATGTTAACAATAGATTTTGTTGATAAACATAGATTCACGTCTGTAAACTATAATTTACAATCGTTAACGACAGTTAAGAGTTGTAAACCATAGTTTACAATCTTGAAACTGTATTTATCAGATAATCTATGTTTTGCAATAGCAAATGATTGTTTTCGGTGTAAAGTATAGTTTAAGGTTGTGAAACATAGATTATCGCGTTAACTATAGTTTACAGACGTAAAATATAGATTAACGTCGTTAACTGTAGTTTACAGTCCATAAACTATAGTTTACAACTGATAAACCTTGTTTATCAACTGTGACATTTTTGTGAATTTGGCATGCCATAATTATCTTAATTTGAAATGTGAGAAATTGCTTAGGCTTTCTGGGTAATGCAAAGAAAGAATTAAAATTGCTATGTGAAAGTTGTTTGAATCAGTGTATACATACTTTTTTTTTAAGAGGGTTATGTGTTGCATATATTAAATAATTCTCTACCACCTTTCCTAATTTCAGCCAAAGAGGAAGAGAGAAGGAGATTACAGAGAAGGAACAGTGACTTGTTAAGTGAGAAGTCACAACTAGAGAACAAAAACAAACAGTTCAATGACAACCTAACGGTACGTGGACAGTAGGGGGAATTCAAATGTCATGGAATTCATCATATCTTATTTAATAATTTGAACTGTTGAAGAAATGATGCAGTTTCTGCCGAATCTTAATTGAATTTTCTTTGTTCATGGGGATGTAATTTCATAGGTAACTTCTTTATACAGAAGTTTCAGTTTTCTAATAGTTTGAAAAAAATTCTATTGCAGATGTACATGTTATATCTTGTCAAAAAATAGTATAAAATTGAGTTTTCTATTTCGATTTAATTTTTCATTAGAATTTGATACAAGGTCACTGTTTGTGTAAAATTTTTATAAAATTCATACTGAATACATATTAAAATTCCCTTTCCTGCAAGAATTTTTTACTCTGAGGAAGAAATGATTATTAATCTATTAATTGTGAGACTTTATCATATGAACAAATGACATGTAGATTCTAACTTTTAGGAACAGTAAAAACATTCTTATAGCAAACATGCTTATCATGAATTGATGATTATAACGACATTATATTTACATCCATTGAATATTTTCTCCTTTATTTCTTAAGAAAACCCATTGTGTTAATCACTGCATGAACTACATTAGGCATGTCGCCTGTACAGATTTCTTGATCATTGGCTGTTCCGTCAATAAAACGTATAAAGACGTTCGCATCATTAACACAATAATTGAACTTTTTAATCCTTCTTTAAATGATTATTTAAACAGATATAAATATAAACAATAAAATGTCTTTCTTTGTTTGTTATTACTGGAATTAACGGTCACAGCTATTGCAGAAAAAATTTACATAACCCGCTTACGCAGGTTATGTATTTTTTTTGCAACAGATGCTTCCGTTAATTCCAGTAATAAAAAACAAAGAAAGCATTTTATTGTTTAAATTGTCATTCCCCTTGATGAAAAATATGTTGGAACACTCAGTGGATAAAACGAATTACACTTATAATGAAGCAGGATTTCCTGTCCCTGGCATTTCGTTATAAGTATGTTTTACTGGGGAATGTTCAAGTCAGTAAATTTTTAAATTGAGATGTTTTTGAATTTATAGGTTCAAATGCAGAGACGGGACACTCTTTTGGAAAAGAGTAAGCTACACCAACAAAAAATTGAAAGTCTGAAGAATTTCATCAAACTCCTACAGAACTCCTAATCTGAATTTTTCGGTAGTTATATGGTTCCTGGAACAAGATCATTGATGTGTAATATTGAGATACTGTATCTTGTAATATTTCATACATTGTGACTCATGCTGCAGGTCTGCATACAGAGGAATTCATGTATTAGTTACTTTAATCTGGATAGAGCTGACAATTGAATCCTTTTTTGTGGTGAGACTCTAGAGGAAGGAGAAAATGTATGAGAGTATTTTTTTGATGTATTTTGTATTTCATAGAACATTTTTTTTAAAATTGTCTTTTTATATGGTGGAATTAATTTGATAAAGCTGAAACCATATGTGATTAAATTTCATTAGAATAATTTGAACAAGGAAAAAAAGGGCTATATTTGGAAATTTTATACAAAAACAGTTTATTACTTTTTTCAGTTACAAGTATGTATACACCTTTTCTTTACATGTATAACTATAGCAAAACTCGGGAAAAATTCAGCAACAGTCCTAATTATTGCACTGTAAAATTTTATATACAAGACAATTAGATAGGCTCTGAATATGGATGCTGCATTTATTGAGTAAATAACTAAGTTATGACAGTGACTCTTTGTGATGTACATTTTTGAGTGTTGTTTGTAATGGACCCGAGTCATCGTTTTTGACTGTTATTGGATATCTTATCTCACCATTCAATCATGTTGATGTTATGACTGATATATTTATGATTGCAGAATACTGAGTGAATAAGAACATTGTATGTGATACATTTATACCCATTGTGCAATTTGATATTGTGTTGCATGTTAATTTATTCAAGAAAAGGTTAAAAATGTTGAGGAATGAAAATGTACTAAATATACAGGATAAAACTTCTTTGTAGAGTCTTTTCTTATAAGGTCCAATGTACAGAGATCAGAAGAGCCTATGTGATAGTAAGGTGTTTGCCTGTCCATCTGAAAACATATCTTCAAATGCTATTTCTTGTAGAGATTTATTTTGATTTCAGTATAACTAAACTTTTTTCTGAATACTAGTAGTTACTACCTTGGCTTGTGGGCCACTCCTACTTTCAAGGACAAGTAATTACGATTTAATTTAAAATTTAATGACAACTTTTAAAAATCTTTTCAAAAACCACTGGTCCAAAAACGAAAGAAAAAGTGAGCAAGCTCACATACCACACGCTCCCCCAAACCTTGAAGAGCTGAAATTGCCGGGAGAAATAAAGAAATCCCAATTTCCTGGTAACATACACTGCGCTGACAAACTGTTATCTCTATATTCAAGGTATGGCCAAAAATCTTACGTTGAAAAGTGCTGAAATTCCCAGAGAAATTAGGGAATCGGAATTTCACAGTGTGTACTAAATATATGATACGTTTAACGAAATTCTGTGCAGCGGTTTAAGAGGAGTTGCGCTGACAAACTGTTCATCTCTTATTCAAGGTATGACCAAAAATCTAAGTTCAAAGGTGCGAAAATTCCCGGAAAGAATAAAGGAATCGGAATTTCCTGGTAATATGCACATCTACACATTGTTTCCGAAATATCTGCAAAGTTTGACGAAATTCGATGCAGCGGTTTATGAGGAATTGAGCTCACTAAAAAAGAAAAACAGTACTGACTGACTGACTAATGGGTTAAAACATTATACCTCCTGCAACTTGTTGCGTGGGGTATAAAAACATTATACCTCCCACATATTGTAGCGTGGGGTATAAATATGAAACCTATTTGGAAGCATCTCCAGGTAGAGTAAATTTAAATTTGTTCAAATGCAGATCTCCGAGGATAGGGTGGGGTCAAAATGGCCGATCAAATTTTCACATGAAAATACACAGAAAACTATGTAAATCTTAGCAGAACAAACAGAAGCCATGATTAGTCATATGTATTCTCAGATGGTGGGGATTCAGAATTTTTCAAATGATTACTCCAAGGGGTAGTGAGGGGCCGCAATGGGTAATCAAAGTTTTATATAGACAAACATAGGTAATCAGAGATTACAGAGCTCACCTCAACAAATGTTGTCTTTAACGACGTTAGATCCTGATATTTAAAGTCTTAAACTTTTTTTGCCAAGTATATTTTTAGTTTTTACATGTACATAGCTTAATTAAAATTCACATCAGAAAATGGGGGTCAATATGCTTCTTTTAGCGCTACAGTACATTTAATATGACCTTTCTGCACTGAAATTTGTGTCTTAATTAAAAATTACATCTTCGACGTTTTCCCTCCAATATTTTTATCCAATTAAAGCATGAAACAAAATGAACTCTAAGTCTGTTTAAAAAAAACACTGAAAAATTGTGACTAAGAAAAAGTTTCAAATTGCTTCGCATAATCAATTATTTGACCTTTCTGCACTAATAAAATGTTATTTTTCCGGCATTGAAAATATAATAAGCAAGAAAATTATTTTAAAGTCTTAAACTTTTTCTGATTTTAAGCAGATAGGTCAAAGTTATCTAGAATATTTAGAAAAGAACATCAAAAATGGGGGTATGTGATGTACATTTTCAGATATTACTAAAAAAGTGTGAATTAAAATTGGCTCAATTGTTTCCCGGATTTTCAGAATATACTTACTATATTTGTCACACTTTGCTGATAGAATTCATAAGAAATAATTTAATAGGTATTTCAGAACCTGCATAACATATTGCACCGCAAAAAACAGCTTTGTGTGCAACCAGCATGCAAAAATAGGCATCCAAAATTAACAGTACTGTTATAGTTCAAATGGAAAAAACTGACCATTTTCGTCTAAAAAACCTTCCGCCACAAAATAATAGTCCCTAGCTTAATCCCATTTGAATGGAATTCAATTGCAGTTTCTGCAATGGATATAGTTTAATATGCATTGTAGAATTCAGTTTTATTGTTCGAACCTAAAAATGATGCTTAATTTTATGAATAAAGGACCTGCGCGAAATACGCTCAAAATATCAGGATCGAACGTCCTTAAGTAAGGCAAAGTCACCAATTAACCAACAAATAGTGTACATCCAAAAATGCAAAATTTATGCAATTTTGATCTAATACTTTGGAATAGACCTATATAAAAACTTCAATCTAGTTCTTCATCACGAAAATGTGATTAAAATCCAGCATCTGAAGCAAGTTTGGGAGTTTTCATCCCTTGATGCATCATTTGTGCAAGTTTGGTTTATATAAGCCTTATAGTTTCTTGGTAATAGACCTGCACCAAAAACTTTTACCTGGTCCATTATCTAGAAAATGTATGTCGAATTCAGCATCTGGAGCAAGTCCATTAGTGTGCATCCTAAGATGTATCATCCATGCAAGTTTGCACAACATAGGGCTTATAGTTACTTAAAAATGAAACCTGCATAAAAAATTTAACCTCTTCACTCATCCAGAAAATGTAGGTCAGATTCAGCACCCGAAGCAAGTCTGGTAGTATGCATCCTAAGATGTATCATCCATGCAAGTTTAGTCATTATAGGGCTCATTGTAACTTGGAAATGAAACCTGCACCAAAACCTTTAACCTGTTCACTCATCCGGAAAATGTAGGTCAGATTCAGCATCCGAAGCAAGTCTGGTAGTATGCATCTTATGATGTACCATCTATGCAAGTTTGGTCATTATAGGACTCATATTATTTTGGAAATGAAACCTGAACCAAGAACTTTAACCTGTTCACTCAACTGGAAAATATAGGTCAGATTCAGCATCAGAAGCAAGCCTGGTAGTATGCATCGTATGATGTACCATCCATGCAAGTTTGGTCATTATAGGGCTCATAGTATCTTGAAAATGAAACCTGCACCAAAAACTTTAACCTGTTCACTCAACCGGAAAATGTAGGTCATATTCAGCATCCGAAGCAAGGTTGGTAATGTGCATCCTTAGATGTATCATCTATGCAAGTTTGGTCAACATAGATCTTATAGTTACTTAGAAATGAGACCTGCACCAAAAACATTAACCTGTTCACTCAACCAGAAAATGTAGGTCAGATTCAGCATCCGAAGCAAGTCTGGTTGTGTATATCCTTATCCTTAGATGTATCATCCATGCAAGTTTGGTCAACATAGGGCTTATAGTTACTTGGAAATGAGACCTGCACCAAAAACATTAGCCTGTTCACTCAACCGAAAAAATGTAGGTCAGATTCAGCATCCGAAGCAAGCCTGGTAATATGAATCCTTAAATGTATCATTCGTGGAAGTTTGGTCAACATAGGGCTTATAATTCCTTGGAAATGAGACCTACACCAAAAACTGCACCAAAAATGTTAACCTGCCCCAAAAACATTAACCTGGTCATTCCTTTGCTGAAATTGCAGCATCTGAAACTTTGACTGGTACAACGAAACACACTAGAAGCATCTTCCATGATTGTCGAATCAATATAGGACATAGAAGTACTGAAAAAGAAAACTGCTCCAAAAAACTTAACCTTAACCTGGGACGCCGACACCGACGCCGAGGGTATTACATAAGCTCCCCCAACTTCGTTGAGGTGAGCTAAAAATTATTAATATCTTGACTTCTTTTCAAGAACAGCAAAGCCATGATTAGATATAATACTTGTATATGGAAGTATTCTTAGGAAAAATGATATGGAGATAACGAACAGTACCCAATATCAAAGTCCATAAAACAATACAAAATACGAGGAGAGCAAACACAGACCTCCGAAACATCAGAGGTGGGATCAGGTGCCATGGAGGAGTGAGCATCCCCTGCTGACCGGTCACACCCCCATGTGCTCCTTGTCATGAACTGGAAATAACGGGAAAAATCCGTCGTTTACGGTTAGGAAATGTAGTTTTCAGGAGGGGACACACACTTTATTTTAAACTAGTGCTAATTGTAACGGGGACCGTTACAGATGTTCCCCAAACGCTCCCCAACTACCTTTTGGTGCCATATTCCCTGTAAGCTTCATTAAATAACTCTATGCATCTGAGATTTTAACAACATTTACAAAGAAGTGTACAAAAATCATTTAAACTTTAGCATTGCACGCGTGCACATGTGAATGCATTTGCGTCATGACCATATCATCTTGTCTACACAATCTATATTTTTAATACACTGAATATTAAAGTATTTAATCCAAAATTATTTAAAAAATACACTCATTCAAGTGTATGTTTGATTTTACTCATTTCACGTGCACGCACGTGTATACATGAGCATGGTGACCATACCTTCTTGTAGAAGTCCATTACATCTATCTATACATTCTCTCCCGTTTGGGTGAGGGAGTTATAGCTGTTTAAACTTTCAGCCAATCAGATTGCAGCACATGTACACGCAAGTGTATGCATGTGCATGGTGACCATACCTACTTGTAGAAGTCCATTATATCTATCTATGTTCCAAATCCCATCCTGTTTGGTTGAAAACCAAGGGAGTTATAGCTGTTTAAAGTTTCAGCCAATCAGATTGCAACGCACATGCATGCACGTGTTTTCATGATAATTGCTTTATTTCATGTTGTAGGATATCCTAATGCATGGCTATGTTCAAAATTTCAAAGGATTTCGTCAAACAACAAGAAAGATATTGAGACTTTAGTTGCAGCCAATCAGAGCGAAGTGCAAGTGCATGCGCGTGAGATCTTGCTATTTTCACCATGTCGTCATGTCTATACTACTAATATATCCTCACATTATGAGTTTCAAAGCATTTCATCTAAAAATAGAACAGTTGTGGCTATATCTACTATATTGGTCATTTCACGTGTTGCACGTGCACGCTCTTGCAAGCATGTGCGCGCAAAATGACCTTGATTCCGCAAATCTACATAACATGTCTACTAACCCTAAAAAGGTTTTACCTACATCGGACGAACAGTTTACAAGATCATTCCCGGACAA